TAGTCCCTCCAGAGGCAAGAAGCTGGAAGAGGATAATTTGGGCCCAACGTTAATAAATGTAACTAGAAATAAATCTTTTGATCAGGAAATAAACCCAAAAAGGGGCATTTCTGCTGTTGGTAAGGTTAGGAATCCTTCACCAACTCGTCGATTTAGCTTTGAAATGGGCAAGTTGAGTTGGAGTCCAAAAGGGACTTCAGCAATTCAACATTCAGGCACCAAAGATTCTACAGTTAAGTCCGGTTCAGAGGTAACTTCTATTTGTGATAAATCAAATGATACTAGCAGAGCCAGATCCAGTCCTTTGAGAAGATTACTAGATACATTTTTGAAACCAAAGTCAGGCAACTCCAACCACACTGATAACTCATTGGAGAGAGATTTGTCCACAACTAATAGGGCTTTCAAATCATCCTCCGGACGTGGAGAATCTCAAGCTTCTTATTTCAGAAATGTAAAATTAGATTTAAAGGGTTGCAAAACGATAGATATTGATAACCCACATAATCAGAAGAATGGATCATCAACATTTCAAGCTCTCCTACAAGTGGCTTTAAAGAATGGCCTTCCTGTGTTCACATTTGCAGTTGACAATAAAAGAGACATTTTAGCAGCGACTGTGAAAAAATTAAGCTCAAGAAAAAATGTGAACAGATGGATTTACACGTTTTTCTCTTACCAGGAAATGAAGAAAAAGAATGGACATTCGATTAATCAAGTAGATAAAGACAGAAATCAAGGATATATTCCTCATGTTGTTGCAAAAATGAGGGTTTCCGATGTTTTCTCCTCAGAATCGTCCAGTAAAAGGTCTGTTATTAAATCTAGCACTAGGGAGTTTGTTTTGTATTCCGTGGGTACTAGAGACGCTGATCATCAAACATCGGACATGTTGCCTAGTAATGAACTTGCAGCTATTATTGTGAAATTTCCGGAACACATTGACGGACAGATAAATCGAGATGTCCAGCCGAGTGGTAACTCTAAAGATGACGAAGGAAATCTGAATTTGGTTCTGAACAAAGACCTTTTAAGTACGACAGTAGTACTTCCTGGTGGTGATCATGGACTGCCTGGTAAAGGAGAACCTTCACCACTTATCAAACGATGGAAATCTGGGGGATCATGTGACTGTGGAGGTTGGGACATGGGATGTAAAATACAAGTTCTTGCTAATCACAACCATTCGAGTGAGAAATGCAGATCAACTGACAGAAGATTCGAGCTTTTTTCTCAGGTATTTATTTTGTGCAGTCTAATTATTGTTCATTTTAGCGCCTACAGTGTTTTTAACAGGATTCTTAACTTTCGTCTCTGCTTTTCATAGGACGAAATTTCAGAGAATAAGCCCGTCTTCAGCTTGTCACGGTTCAAGGATGGAATCTTCTCAGTCGAGTTTAATTCATCACTCAAACTTCTACAGGCGTTCTCCATTGGAATAGCCATTTTTAACAGTATGAAACCGGCCATCTTCGCAGAACCAAAAAACTTGGTTGGATGCCAGACTTCTGAAGAAACTACATTATCAGAAAACAATGTGGCAAAAATTTCCAAGAAAGAGGTTTCTGCAAAATATGCCTCATTTCCACCTCCATCCCCAGTTGGAAGAGTATAGATTTCACAACCTTTTGTAGCTTGTTGGCTAAGCAGCAAGTTTAAACATCAATAATGATTGATATGTTAAAATATATATGTAATTGAAATGTTGCAAATCAATGGCATGTTTGAATAAGCTAAATGAGTAAAAAAAGTTACTTATTTTAAGTGTCGAGTTGTTTCGAAGTAATCAAATTACTTTACCAATAAAAGAAATTATTTATTATAAAATTTATAAGTAGTTTGGTTTAAGCTTAGTTCATTGATCAGAAAATCATGTCCATAGTTATAATTTCGTTCGAAAGTATTGTTAATGTACTTAAAATGAGTATATCAAATATTTAATTACATTCTTGCATAATAATTTGTTTTCCTTAATTAAAAATACAATGGACGACAAAAATCAATTTAAATCTCTCAAACTGACCAACTAAACCAATATCGATGAGTTTGGGTTGGTTTTTAAGTTCAATTGGCTTGAGTTGGAAAATTAAATTTAAGGTCAGGTTAAGTTGGGGCTCAGATTAACAATTAAAACACAATTCAACTTAACCCAATCCAATTCGATGGATTAA